ATATAAAACTATTTTTTATCAAACGTTGATTTTGGAATTTTCTTTCAATACCTGCTAATCGGAAATAAAAATTAGTCAGATGGGAAATCTGGTATTGGGTTACATAATTTCATTTTTCAGGGTTATCAGATTGTGTAAGACCGTATTTAGCGATCCAAAATGGGGCCACAGAATTCTTGAAAGAGTGTGGAAAAGCTGCTACTATTTGGTGATATGTCGAATACGAAGAGCTGCCCTAAGCGTGGAGCAGAAAAATTGGACCGAAACGCTAATTTCAAATTTTGTAAAAGAATTATGTGTATTCGCCAATGACTTTCCACATTTATGTGCAGCAATATGCTTATACATCGGTGATCTGCGTCGCTATGCGTGGATGATCTATGGTACGGAAAAATACAGAAATTTGGCACTGCTTTGTTATCGGTAATAACTTGAAAATTAAATCCTTGATTAAGTTTTATTCTAAAGGAATTCATTCTCTAAAAATCATCGAGTTATTTTCTTGTCTTGATACTTATCAGTTTTTTGTTTTTATGCCCTTTTTACTTAGTATGACTGGTGGAATAAACTTATTTTAGTCTTGATGTAAAGTACAAAAACATCTTTCAGCATTTTGAGGTGCATACTTTGTTTATTACATGTGAAATTAGTTTCTAAAACTTTATTACAAAAAATATATTTGTTTGAAAATTGTTTTTTATAGCAAATCGGCCAAATTAGATGAACAAAATGGAATTGCATTGAATCAACTTGGTCTCCTCGTTCAGGAAGCTAGTCCAACATGTGCTTTATTGTATTTCTTACTAGCGGATAATGCGCTACAGCCTTTTGACGGCGCCTATACAAATGTTATTAGTTTGTTAAAACAGCAAAAAGAACAGAAGAAGGAAGACTCTACAATGTCCATTCTTCACTATTGTTTCACATGTTTCAGGTATTAGAGTATTATAAATGGAATAATATGATCTTTTGGTTTAACTAGGATAGAATAATGCGTCGTTCATATTGGATGAAGTAACTGAAGTAGGACGAGTGTATAGTGAGAGAAATCTTAATAAGACGATGTAATTGTTCTATTAATAGTAGAATGTCATTTAGACTGATGTTATAAAAATTAGCTTTTATCATTACTTAGATTTTTTAGTAGAAACCTACCTTCTAGTGTAATGTCACTGTGGAATCACTTGAGTTTCCGGATAGTTTATTTGGGTTCATTTAGGCAGTCATATTTTGAAGAGCTTTCGACAAAGTGGTCGGAATATATAATATCGCAGTTAGAAACTCGACATGCATTTCACGTTGCTTTGTCGATTAATATTATCGTTCTGGCAGCCACAACTTTGTTAAAAAGAGGTGGCTTTCTTGATTTCTTATTGAATATCGAAAATAAAATTGCATGTTTTGGACTAATTATGGTCACTGCCAAATTAATTAAAAAACTACCAAAATAATTTTTTAGTATCAAAGTTTCTGGCAAAGTCTTTATTGTAATTATGATACTTTCGGTATTTGTATTTTATACTTTGCGAAGTTTTAAAATTGTAATACTTGAAATGATATATCAGCACAAATTTGGCAGGTTAATATTTATTGAAGGAATTAAACATAAGGAAATTTGACGTACTGCAGTACAGGATCAAAAGTGATTAAAAATTTTTTCTGTAAATGTTGTATATCAGAATTAGTTGCAGGGAAAGAAATAGAATTGCAATATCTTAGCAAGTTATTTTTTCGAATTTCGGAAGTTACGATTCGGCACTTGGAAGAATGGAGTGCGGCAGAAGCTGAAGCAACTGATTTACGAAGACGTCGAGCTTCATCTTCCGATGAAAGTGCAGAAGAGGCTGAAATAGAAGAGAGAAGAGAAAGACATTGCTCGCGGTCCTCATCAGCGGAAAAAGATGTGGTTTCAGAGGATGATGAAACAGTAACGGAAACGGAGGATCCAAATCTGAGTACACGAAATCATGAAACACAACACAGAATCCAGTCACTTCTTGTTGCTTTACTTCATGCTGCAACTTCTTTAGCTCCTCATGTGTATAACGACAAAGTACCATCGGCACTTCACTGTGTAAATTTTAATGAGTATTTGAAGTTTTTATGCTTGAAATGTGTGAAAATAGCAGCAATTGCATTTTGGAAGAGTAACATCAATGAGAAGACAGATATTGTTTGCAGGCAGTTTAAAGTATTTAGGTATCTGTTTAAATTGTTTGCAAACATTCATCATGTCTTCAGCCCATTAAATGGGCTCTAATCAATTTTTTATCGCTAGAGATTGTTACATTTATATCTCGGACTGATAAGCGAGATAAATGTGATTACATTGTGCTTGCCGGATATTATGAAGTATGGTAACAGAAATGATCTGTGATCATTTCAGTATGAGAACGACTTTTTAGCTACTTTGCTATATTCTTCTAGGTTTTTTTGAACCGTGAAATGATTAATTTGTCCAGAATGCATCATCTTATTTTTAGCAATATGAAGATTTCTGTCAGCAGTTAATCCAGTTTTTGAATCTCTTGGAGCTGCATTTGGAGGGTAAGTCAGAGAACATGTGGCAGCTCGGTGGCTTAACTCCATGGTGTTTATTGCCACGCTTTTTGCAAGCTTTCGTCCAATCTCCGCATACTCCCGTTGTATTTGATGAATTTTTCATATATACACCGAAGAATTCGACGAAGGAAAATAAAATGAAAAACATGGCGAAGTTGTGGTTGGCATATGATACAGAAAAAGTACATAAGTTTTTAATTGTTTGATTTCGTCAGGATTTTTGAATCACATACATAAAGTGCTTTGCTAGCAATGTTTTAAGGATCCCATTTTTTTCACTCGGTAACATCCCAGGAATTTTTTTTTTTTGTATTAGGCAAAAAGCCTTATTTCTTGGGTATGCAAATGTAATGCGAGCAGCGAAAAATACTCATTCCTACCAATATGACTTTTATCTTTTATCTTCATTTTAAAGCTATTAGTAATGGAGCTAGTTTGCAAATCTTCCAGAAGAAAATTTTGAAGTGGTTTCTTTTTTTTTGCAGGAACAGATACGAACTTCCCTACCACTATATGTTGTTCCGCAAGAGGATGTTTTATTGCAGCGACTGGAAGTTATGAAAAAAATCCTGAAAAAAGATAGACTGATAGTGGCTATAGCAGAGGGTACATTTCGGAATTTGGATATGAAAAAGGATAAACCAGAGGTGCGAAAAGCATTGCGTTGGATCAATGCGCATATATCAAAAGATAACGGTCGTCTGCGAATCATACCGAGTTCAACTCCAGAAAAATGTGCGGAGAAGTTGTCGGCACAAGCACCGACCACATCCACTGTATTCGTTACAGTGCTCACATTATTTCGGGCTGAAGCTAATTCAGTTATCAAACGTAAGCATTTTTTTCTTTGGTCATTTTATACCTATTGCGGATGTTTTTATAACAAAAAAGCTTTTTTCAGTTCATACATCAAATCAAATGTTTGAACTCGGATGTTTAAAAATTAATAGATCCTGGTTTAATGTCTTTTCTCATCCAATGGTACATAATCATATTTTCACTTTTTCCATTGCCTTTCTCGAATGTCCTTAATTTTGCTTCCATATAAATAGCAACTACCGTGGGAAGGAACGCCTCCCCTTACCGTTTGAAACCTTTATTCTCAGTAAGTCCTTGCCACTTGATAATCTGGTCTGGTAGCCTTGCTTACATCATCGAACAAATTTCTAATTAAATTTATGTATGCATATTCAAGTATCAAATAAAAAATGAAACATGAAAATCAAAATATATAATAGTAGCTGTTATTAATGACTGGAGAGAAAATGAGCGAATTCAGATTTAAAGAGGGACTGGCATTGGTATTTTGAAATATTCTGGCCTAAAGCAATTGTCACCTCAGTTATTTATTTCTTTTCGGCATATCCAAGCATCACAAGGCAACAGCATTCTGCATTATCATTTCAACATTCATGTTACTTCATAGGTTTTCGGGTTTTTTTTATATGGCATAGAAGTACAGCAAGTGCTGCTACAAATATATTTTCTTCTAGTCGTGGTGGAATGCATGAAGTTTATGAATAAGAAGATTCTTGCTTGTAACTGTAACTTTTTTAGCCATAACGATGGAGAACGTTGAAGATTTTTGTGCTCGATATGACAAAGCTGAGAAAGATTTCTTGCTGTGCCACTGACACGTATGCTGAGTGAATAATGATGGCAAAATAATTAAGGTGATGAATACTTTGATTGAATCCTTTTTGTTAAAACATTTAATTGCTGTCTGTAACATCGTCCATGATTCAGTACCTTTAAAAAGTTGGAGGAATAAGTAGGAGAAATCTAATTGGAACATGTAATGTGAAGGTGATCAAAGGGAAGTTAAGATGCAGTCATATGTTGATCTGCCAATTAAACAGAATGATGTAACGTGAGTATTCAGCAAGTTCATGCACGATAGTTTATGAATGTAATGCCGCCACCGATGGTATATCTGTTCCTCTAATGATCTAATTGTTATTAGAAGAAAATGAATCATGAGCTGAATGACTTTGGTGGGATACAATCGTTTCCTTTTGTTAGTGGTGTATATACATCTCGCAAAAACAAAACTTTGAATGAATCCTCAAAATTAAATATTCAAATGTATGGGAACAAAAGATGAAGTGTACATATTTATTTTTTTTGTGCTTTCCTTTTCCGTCCTCTTTCTCACCTCTTTCGGACAGCACTTATACATAAAAGGAAAAGAGAGAAGGAAAGAGATGGGAGAGAGGGAGGGAGGTAAGTCTGAATGGTTATAGTACCATGTAATACAACCTTTTTGTTACTGAACAGCAATGGGCATCAGCAGGAGGTGGAGGTTGTGGAAGAAGGGGAGGTGACGGTGATGGAACAATTTTGGGATGTTGAAGGCGATCGATGATGAGGTGATGCCGTTTGCTTGGATGGGGATAATTTGTCGTCGTGGCGCTCATCATCGGGCAGTTTAGTCGTTTTTGTCTATGATCTTTCGGTCCAGATGCAACAAGCCATCAGTTAGCGATGCTTGCTGGACAATACATTTGTCCCATTGTGAGATTCTCATGGCTTCATTATTGATGGTGAGTGCAGAGAATGTATATATGTTTAGGAAATGGAAAGGGTGAGAGGTGAAGGAGAGCGAGATGAGTGGTCGCTAAAAGAAGTGTGAAATGTTGGAAGAAGTGAAGTGAAAGAAGAAGGGAAGGCAGTGTGGTTGAAAGAGAGAAGAGCGGAGTGGAGAGAAGGAAGCATGGTGATGTCTCGTTATGCTTGTTAAAAGTGTTTATTTGTAAGAGGCATCAAGGAGATGGATGGGGCACGGATATTTGGTTTCATTAAAGAGAGGGGAAGAGTAGTAGTAATGGGTTAATGCGTCCAGATTCGTTGATGTGTACAAATCCATTCATCACCATCACTCACGGGACCGTCGCTCTTCCCCTCAACCCTGAAGTGTTATTATAACGGTGACATTAAGAATGGATTGTTCGGCAGTTGCAGCGGCGATAACTGTGTAAGCAAAGCATACACTGCTCAGATAACTATCCAATCACTATCACTTCAAATTACTTTATTTGCTGTGATGAGGGAGGGAGGCAGCCGACAGGGCGATGTGAATGGCTTTTCGAGCTTTTTTCCATGCCGCTTCCTTTCAATTACTTGTTTCATTCTTAGCTCTTAGCGGGCACTCCTCCACTCAATTTGTCTATTATAATTTATTCATATCCCCCCAATCTGTTTAGAATTTTCCCTTTTAAGGGCAAGCACTCTTTATCCATTCTTGAAGTTTCTATATTGCCTAAATGGATTACACCTACTTTATGTAATTATTGTACTACTACAGGCACGTATGCTTTCGCTCTGTTCATTACTATAGATGCGATTTCGTTCCCTTCACTATAGATCTGTTCAAGACCTTTCACTAATTAATCAAACTAATGTTGGTACTTGTTATAATCATAGCTTCTCTTCATTGTATGCATCTTTTACGTAATTGTTTGCAATACCGGGTCGAGATTTGTTCATTTCATCTCATTGTTTGTGGTGAAAGCTGTAACAATTAGATTTGTTGGTTTTCAAAGTTAATGCAATTAATGATTTTATTATGTAGCGCTGCGTATAATATCTTTGCATACGATGGCAGTTGAACGACATGTATTTGCTTGCATCCTTTACGAGGTTGAGTAGATTTAAGATGTAAAAAGCTGGGAAAGAGTAGCTATTTGAGAGCACATGTATGTATATAGCTACTGGTTGTTCCTTTCCTTCATTGAAATTCAATTCCCTAATCGGCTCCTTCCTTCTTTTCGTTCATACATCTGCGCCATCGAGAGTCTTCCATCGCAAGGCCCATGTATACCGAAAGGATAGCTTATAGAAGAAGTAGGGGAACGAGGGTGTGAAGGGAAAGGATTAGCGGCGGGAAGAGGAGGAGGAGGAGGAGCGGATGAGTAACATTTTATGATGTGTGCATAGGGGTATAAGCGCAGTTCATCTATGTGTATCAGTGCATTACAACCAATTTAGTCATTCTCCGTCACATTATTTACTTGTTTATGTAATTGCCTCTTCCTCACACATCACATCTTTCGATTAATTTATATCTTCTTTCGTTTCTTATTAACCTTCAGTTCTCGAACCGTCTTTCCAACAACATCTTCATTCTTCTTTAACTTTATCAGCTCTTCACAACCAAAAATTTAATAGAAATAAAACATCATTACTGCTAGTTTGGCGCCTTACATTATTATATTCGTTCCATCTGTCCATGTCTTTTATTGTGTCGTAGATTGCCATCAATTTTTCGGGAAACATTGATTGAAAAATGTTTGTTACTACTCGGTAGCTTTCAGTTATTGTTTTGCATTTATAAATGACATTTCAACTGGCATCTGTTTTTCTCGTTTAAATTGGAATAAGTATTGTTTTAACAATACTTTGATTTGTGAGGGTATGGATCACGTTAACGTCTAATGATTTGAAGCATTTGGAACGATTTTCAGCGGGAAAAAAACTAGTTTTTCATGGAAACAAATATCAGTTGTATGTCCTAACTGAACATTTGTATGAAATTGGGTCGTCCGGCCCGCTTCCAAAGTCTGTTATAATTTTTTGAATATTCAAGAAGTTTTGTATTCATAAAAAAGCTCTCAACTTTGAAGACCTGCCGCATTCACATTTTTTATCTCTGCATGGTTTCTCTCTGCATGAAACTTTGCTACGTGACAGTCAGCGGTTCAAATATGCTCTTGTAATGTCTGATTGTTATTGAATGTAGACTTTGATTTAGATCTGTTTAATTTGTAGTATCTGCTGTGGATTGTTGTTGCATAATTCGTAGTACTATAAATTCATTAATCCTGTTGATTAGGAAGAATGGCGAATTCAAACATAAAAGAAAGTGCTGTATTTTTGTGAGCCATGAAAGGCAGGGTAACATTTTATTTAGATCTTTGTATAAGAAAAACTATTCCTTAACTTTCTGTTTAGGAATGAATAATGACATACTTAATCACTTGAAATGATATCTCAAGTAGTTTAGTTGTTATCCTTTACATAACTTTAGGTTAACAGAAAAAGGAATTTTGGTGCGATTAATGCTAACTGGAAGAAGTGGACTTGATGCCTGTTATATGCGGTTGAACGAAATTCATTAAAAGTTGGAAAGGGTAGGTCATTCCTCTTTTAGAATTCTGTGAGTACTGAGAACTCACTCAGTATAAAATAAGAAGTAGGCAATTTGAATTGGAAGTCGGAATTATAAATGAAAAATTATGCAAGTATAAGCTAGGTCTTATAGAATCCTCGTCGCTATCCTTTTTACACTTGCAAAAATAAATGGTAGTGCGACAGAAGGCTAGACATACTAAGAGATTTTTGGACTTCATAGTTCCCTACCATAATTTTCATTAAGTTATTGTTTTTATGTTTTGATACATTGGAATCAATTTCAGGCGAAGGGAGTTGTGCTGCTGGTAAGTTGAAAGCACAAGTTTTCATTGGTCGGGAATTGACTGTTTTGGACGATGGCTAGGTCAAAATACTAGTAACCGTTGATGGTTAAGTTCACGTTGAATAAATATCCTTGTTCACGAAGCATATTAAACTCAGATAAAATTTAAACGAGAAAATAGTGTGTCATTACTGGCGTAGTGGATGGCGGGACAAATCAATATCATGATCTGATATTTGTTAAAATTATAGAGTTTCAAATTGTGTTGCGTCTTGGCCTTGTAATTTTAGTCATATGGCACTTTTTGACATATTATAAAGTTGTTTGGAAGTCACCGAAGTATGGACATTGTGAAATTTTTCTGAACTATTCTTGATGAAACTTTATGTTTTCATTAAGTTCTGCTCCTTTTTCATGTGGGAAGTTAAAAATAAAAGTTTGAAAATTATATTTGTGATTGCAGTTTTCATCATCAGTGGTTCCACTGTTCAACGATATTTTGTGTTTTATAATTTGCTGTAAATTTTTTTTGGGAAGCTTTAGTTTTTTAATGTAACGATTAGAATTGTTGCACGTTATTTTTCTTAAGTTTTCAGCTGTATATCGATGTCATACCAGAAGTTCTGAAGCTGAAGTCCAAATATCCTATTTTTTATGAAGCCTTAATTTATTTTCATGTTCCAATTAAAAGTGCATGCCGTATAGCGTAATTCTTGTAGAAAGTACTGTTTGTCAGGTAGCTTCAGGAAGGATTAAGCAATGAAGTTGGTAGTAATTCTTAGACGGTTTTAAATCGATATATTCCCACGATTTGAATATTGTTTTTTAGTGAAGGCTGATGTGTGAAATAGCGTTCAACTGACGTCAGTATGTGATAGTGTATTTCATGATTTAATCTATGCAAGGAATTTATTTGATTTTTTAGAACAAAGTCTTGTGTTTGATAGAAATTTTTTTTTGATAGAAGTGAGAGATTTACGAATTTTGCAATAGTTCATATTGCAGCTTATAAGTTTGCTGAAGTCTGACTGTGGATGACAGTGGTAAATTTTGAATTTATATTTTTGTCATCTCAATATTCAATGTAGTGTACACTTGGGAAGAAAATTTTTTGCAGCTTGCCTGAATCCACGGTGGCCTTTCAGACAACAGTATTAGTGGCAATAAAATGTAATTGTTTTGCATTTACTTTACAGGTGTATGATCATCCTTGAAAAAATTCGTAGTTCGTCGTTTTCAGTGTCATTCTTTTTTCATGTTTCCCTCGCACCTTCCGTTCATCAACACACCAATCTCCCCTTGACATTTCCATTCCCGAATCTTTTCTTTATCTTCGCTTAATTTATTGTTGATAATAATTTTTGACACAGTTTAATGAACATTTTCAAACCGAATCATTACTTTCTATTTTCGAATTTTTTTTAGTTTTTTAAATTATCCTATGAATTATTTCCCCTACTTTTTTAAAGTATTGTTGTTGGTAGGCGAGGAAAGCATTGTCTGCTCTGGTTCTTTTCCGATTAATCGAAATGACTTTGTAACTTTTTTCCAACCTTTTTTGGCTTTGTTGGTTGATAAGCGATGTTTTAATGACGGATGAGCAAGGGAAGATAAAGATTATAAGTTATGCAGTTCGTTGCGAAGTTGTTTAAAGCGGTAAGAAAGCAAGAGGATTATTTTAGAAATAATTAGTTTATTCTTACCTTCTTGCATTATATCTGATCAGTTTTATTTCACTGGTCCAGCAAAACTTACTGTAAGGATTATGGGCATAGGTGGAAGAAAAACTTTTCAAGCATAAGAGCTTCTAATTGTTCTGTCGAATTTGTCTTCTCAAATTTTAATGAATGTGTTAAAGTGAGTACTACGCTCTTTGGCTTTCATTTTCGTCATGTCATTTTTGTTCTCAGGAGGGGGAAATGACGTTGATATTTTCTAGTCCTTTTTTTTGT